AAATCCGGACTGTTCGGACGAAATCCGGACGTATGGTAATCCTAACTATCGTTCGCCGTCCACGAGCCACAGTTATTCGAATATTTCGCTTACGAGTTCGTTTGTCGCCGTGCGCCACTTGCCGCCGCCGACTCTCGTTTGCCGTCTATAAGACGAAGTCCTCCCCGAATGTGACGTCTCGTTTACTACTGTGTGTGCACCATTCGCCACCTGTTATTTGTACTTACGCCAATCATCGGTCATCGCTATTGTTTCCTGTGCCATATTGTATTCCACCACTCATTCAAGGTCAGATGCTTATAACAATTTTGGTTTTTTTGTTTTTTTTTGTTTGTTAGGTTAGGTTAAGCATCCACTCGTTTCTCCTTAGCTTTAAGAGATAATGTATGTAATTTAAATTGTTTTTCATTGCTTTATGTATAATACAGTCCACTCTCATATAATCAAATCTTTGTATATCCATCTCTTTGTACCTGTCAGCTGGTTACTTGCTTCCGCCTTTTCTCCGCATTGATAACCTTCCATTAAAGTATAAGTACGGAAATTTTCAAGCGAACATATACAGTCATATGAGGAAGAGGAATGGAGCCATTCCGGCAGTGTGTATGGGATTGTAAAACGGCTTATAAATATATATGATTTAACAAATAATAACACATTATTTTTTAAAACGAACGCACTGCAGCTATAAGGTTAAACCGTTTTTTAATTAAAATTACTAAATAATTTTACACCATTTGCAACCATCGCATCTATCTTCAGTTACCATTATTAAATACATTTGTATGTAAACGTTCTAATACCCGTGCACTTATAACATAGAAGTTAAATTAATGAAATCAAAACGCCCTTGGCCTAGTTAACGAAGCGCTCAATAAGTGCAAACATTATAAATAATTTATAGTAATTAGTTCTATGAATGATTTTTTTTTACTATAGATTCTGAGAAGATATTTTTTATTTATTTTTATATAAAAACGTAGTGATGGTCATCCGATTCTTCTATTAGCGAATAAGACATCATATATTTGAACGAGAATTTCATGTCGATTTGTTCTATAACTCAATAAAATGCATCGCCATCGGTATTTATTAAAATTGTATAAACATCGTTTGAAAAATGTATAGAAACAAATTTAAAGCCATCGCAATTGTCTATAGTTTATAAGAAGTGTATTAAAATCGTTCAATAATAAATACATTATATTTTGTTTTTTATTCATAATCATTGTAAAGATATTAAGATTAATATTATTTTATGCATATTATAAACATATTATATAAACCACAACTAAAGTCCAATAATCTTTCTATCGATGTGCGGATGTGCAGTATTTTTGAATCTATTGGATTGTCGATTTTTTTGGATTTCACGATATTATTCAACAATGGTCGTCATTAAAAATGCATTTATTTTTGTTTGCAAATTTAAACTATAAACTTACGTTTGGGAAGTTAACCAGAATATTGTAATAGAGAACTATAATTTTTTTGCCGTTTCAATGAATGATTTCAGTAACAAAAGTTGTTCAAATTGTAAAACAATAATATCTTTGATTAAAATATTTCGAACACAATTTATGGGTACATTAATTTATCGAACAAGTTTAAAATTATTTCATTTTCCTTAAGTTTCATGGCGATGTAAGATAATTTGAGTTGTAGAGAATGTAATTGATTTATAATCAGTTGGTAAGATATCAAAAAAAAAGAAATTTAAAAAAAAAAAATGATATTGAAATCATTAGTAACATATAAATATTTGATCAGAAAAAAGGTTTATGAAGATAAACCGTACACTGGCGTTTAAACGGGAATAATTTAATTATATCATGTATACAATATGATTCGTTGGTTAATGAGACCTACTAATTAATAGATCTTTTATAACATATTTATATTATATATTATAAGTATACGTATAATTACGTATAGAACCTATATTATTTTTAAATAATATATTAATTTTTCTTATGACTAATATAATTTTAAAAATTTACCTGCTTATGTGTTCGGAAAATATGTATATACTATATTTGGAAATTTTTGTGTTTAGCCAGTCTGCATTATAACTAAAAATATGATTGGTTTGATTTTATTTCGACCTAATCGTTAGTATCAAAATATCTATGTAAGTTAAAATAGATAATAAAAGCGTCCACCATAATTACGAGTATATCCTACTACTTATTTTATATTTTATGTATATACGTCATATATATAACGAGTAAGTTTCATTTTTATGAGATTGATAGGAATATTTTATAGATACGATTTGTAACTAGTAATCAGAATAATACCTTTAATGGTCGTCATGACGACCCGTGTACATTAACTGTGTGTATAATCAAAAAAAATGAAAAAAAAAAACGTTTTAAATAAAAATGAGGCTACTTTGGGAAGCTTTATTTTATTTTGAAGCACTGACAGGCTTTCTAGTGAATCACTTTTTTCCAGGGTTGAAACGTTTAATACGGTATAGTATAAAACACGTATTATAAGTACGCATAAAACGTATAAAACATTTAGTATAGAACACAAAATTATATACGTTTTATACTGTATAAAAATTCATTTATAATATTTAAAGTTCAAATTAAACTTATTAAACTAACAATAAAATAAGGAAACATAAATTATAAATAGACAACTGTGGTGCTATTATATATTAATAATTATTAATATCTTATCGCAGACATATTTATAGTAAAACCATTGTACTTAAAACTTGTGATATTTATAACATTTTCAATATTTTTATTTTTGTTGTCATTCGATTGAACATAAACAATTAAAATAGGTTTCTGCCTTCTGGTATAGTATATTATTTATATTTTATTATTACATTTTATTAGTCTTTGTCTTGTTATCGTCGCGTTCGCACGTTATTGTGTTATACACAAACACAATTTTGAATATAATTAAATATAATTTTATTATTTTGTAAGTAATTTAAAAATTCAAATAAACAAATATGACTGGTCGTCCAACACATAGTGGATGGGATGTTAATTATATACGGCACAAAGAAGAAGCAAAAGGTAAAAAACTTTAATTAGTGTATCTAATAATTACTTAAAAAATAAAATAATACAAAATCTAATATATATTTTATTAATTCATAGGTAAACAATTAGCAAAATGTTTACTTTGTGCAAAAATATTGTCCAATACGAGTAAATCACGTTTATTGATGCACCGTAATACTTGCAATACTTCAAAATTATTCAAAACAGTTACAACAGGAATTAAAAAATCTACTCATTCTACTCCTACTAAAATTATCCGTAATGAAGAACCGCCAGTATTAAAAATAATGGGTAGAGCATCTTCATCTATCTTACCAGTAGCGTCAAGTTCAACATCTGAAACTCAAACTCAAGGTAAACGTAAACATATAAATATATTTGAATCGGATTCAGAACCAGATGATCCATTTAATAATGAAAATTCATCTATTACTATGCCTAATTTAAGTTTAAATACATCCACTGTATGCTTATCGATTCCATTAGAAACTGACAATGATGTTCAGCTCGCAAGTTCTTCACGTGAAAAACAATTAGAAATGTCTAATTCTAATGATACTATGATACTTACTCCTGAAAGTTTTACTTCAAAAAATTCTGATACATTCATCACACTAAAAAAATAAAAATAAACAGCAGGGTACTATTCAACGTTACCATGATAAAATTACAAATGCTGAATATGATTTAGTTAACTTTAAATTGGGAAAATTGTTTTTTTTGGATGCAATATTCCATTTTCTCTAGTCGAATCGGTGCATTTTAAAAAATTTTGCCAATCATTAAGACCCGCATATAATCCACCATCACGAACTACCCTATTAACTCACGTTTTAAATGAAGTACAGGATAGTTTTTGTGCAGCTATAAAGTTTCATTCAAATTCAGCTCTTCTAATAGATGGTTGGAAAAATGAAGCAGCTAATACAAAAAATGTTGCTTGTTTACTGCATAGTTCTAATTGCGAAGCACTTTTTTTAGAGTCTTTTGATTTAACCGGTATTAAAGAAACTGCAATAGAACTTTCTAATACTCGTATAGTGGACAAATGTATATCTTTAGCTTTAGAAAAACACAGCACTCATATTTACGCAGTAATTAGTGATAATGCGGCAAATATGATAAAAATGGGTGAACTTACTAAAATTAGGCATTTGACCTGCAATAGTCATACTGCCAATTTGCTTGCGAAGGGCCTTGTATCAAAAACATTAGTAGAGAAAGCTAAAGTTGTATTGAAAGCATTTCATGGACCAGATGCTGAAAAAGAGTTGTTAAATCAATGAGGTCGACGTATTCAAATGCCTTGTGACACTAGATGGTGTACATATAGGGATTCATTTAAAAATGTATTAGATAATGTTACATCAATGAAGAAAGTATTAGCGATAAGTTCTATCCTTTTTAACGAAACAGTTCATACATATTTATTTGATAAAATTTTTTTAAAACAAATATCTGATTCAATTGAGTTATTTAATCCTTTATGTGAACTTATTAATATCAGTCAAAAATCTACTTCACCAATCGCCGATGCTGCTGAAGCATGGTTGGATTTGGATTTAACAAATAAAATTTCAAACGACTCTGAAGAATTTGATGCAATAATAAAAAAATTTAAAAAACGAAAAAATTATGCATTAAATAAATATTTATTAACAGCAAATTTTCTTCATCCAAAATATCAAGGGAAAAAAATGACACCCGAACACAAAGATATGTATACGTATAGTCTCTACAATGTATAGTGTAGGTCGTACCCTTTCCAACGAGAGGCGGCTCAACTAGATCCGAAGTTTAGTTTGCGACAGACACGCGTTTAAGATTGATGTTTCTATATCGGCCGCCGCTACCTCTATTTCCGTGTATGCTCAATGCGAACTTCGCGCCGTAATTCGTTTTTTGCATTCAACGGGTGAAACACCAATATCCATTAATCGAAAACTTTTTCAAACATATGGTACGGGTTGCATGTCTTTAAAAAATGTTAGAAAGTGGTGTAGAGAATTTTCAGGAGGTCGGACGGAAATTCATGATGAACAAAGAAGTGGGAGACCTTCGATTTCAGACAAGCTAAAAGAACAAATTGAAAGAGAGCTTCGTGAAGATCGACGAGTGACGGTTCGAGATCTCGAACAAAGATTTGAGTTGTCAAAAAGCATCATTCAAAGGTTTTTTAATGATATGGGCTATCACAAATGTTGTGCTCGGTGGGTGCCTAAAATGTTGACCGAGGACCATAAGCGCCAACGCATTGAGACTTCTCGAGAATTTTGTCTCATTATGCCGAACAAGGAGAGGTTTTTCTTGACTCCATAGAAACGGGTGATGAAACATGGGTTTACCATTTCACCCCTGAGTCCAAACAACAGTCACTGGAGTGGAGACATTCTCGCTCACCGAAAAAAAGGAAGTTTAAAGTGACGCAGTCTGCTCGAAAAATCATGGCTACTGTTTTTTGGGACAGGAAATGAGTTCTTTTAATTGAGTTTATGCCAACTGAGGCAACCATTAATGCAGCTTCGTATTGTGAGATTTTGAAAAAACTTCGCAAAGCAATCCAAAATCGAAGACGAGGCATGCTGACTAAGGGGGTTTGTCTCTTGCATGACAACGCCCGGCCCCACGTTGCCTGTGACACAAAAGCTATCTTGGAAAAGTTTGGTTGGGATGTGATCTCCCATCCCCCTTACAGCCCAGATCTTGCCCCGTTCGACTACCATTTGTTCAGATGAAGAAGTAAAGACAGAAGTCACCCAATATCTAAATAAGGAGCTGGCGGCGAGTTTCTATGAGGCTGGTATACAAAAACTTCCAGTGCGCCTTAAAAAATGCATCCAAGTAAATGGCGATTATGTGGAAAAATAACTCATAAGTACTGTATATATACCCATGTAAAACATATTTTAAATAAAACTGATTTTGATTATTATAATTATGGAGACCTGATTTTTGGGACACGCCTCGTAGATATAATAGATAAGATATATTATGCGTAAACTAGTTTTATTTAAGGTATAACATTAGATCTGAAAATATTCAAATGTACCTATGTATATATTGTTTTTTGAGTTACGAAGATACATTTTCAGTTAACCCGTTCACTGCTGACCATTATTTGATATATCTGTTACTATGCTGACGAAAATTGGGATGTTTTTTTTTAATGACGCCAATGTCGAAAGTTATCCATGTACAGTGCGTGACCATTGTTAAACTTTTCAGACATTAAATGTAACATAACCTTAGTAGCATGGCCTTTCCCTCCTATTTCATCTAATGCTCCTGTATAAACAGCAAATTTCAAAATCAGTCCTTGAGGTTCTGTGAGCATATATAATTTTATTCCATATTTATGCCTCTTATTTTGAATATATTGCCGAAATGTAAGACGCCCCTTCCACATCACGATGGATTCATCAAGAGAAAGCTCTTTCTTCGGATAATATATATTATTCATTTTATTATTAAAATGATTGATTAAAGGTCTGATTTTATACAAACGATCCTGTGGTTGATCTTGATTAGCCTCAATATTCGGAGCAAAATGAAAACATCTCATTAAAATCAAAAATCTATCACGACTCATATAGTTCGAAAAAACAAGTGAAGTTGAAGAGGTGGTATTTTTTCCAGTAGTCATTCAACCTGTTCACTCTTATAGTACCAGTATCAATTATTAAAGCAATAAAAGTTAACATTTCATTTTTATTTATTGGTTTCCACTGTGATAAACGTGAAATCGGTGCGCTACCAATACGTAAAAACTCAGTTTCGGCATAGATATTGGTTTGAGAAACCAAAAGATCTATAAAACTATCGTCAAAAAGGAAAAAAAAAATGTATAGGATTTTTTTCATTTTCTACTTCAACAAGCAATTCATTTTGCTTAGTAAATGGAAATTCAAACATTTCATTTACATCATTATCCCAAATAATTTCTGTCTCATTATTAGTTATACGAAGCTGAGTTTGTGTATTTATATTTTGTTCAATATCCGAAATTTCATCATCACTTTCAGAAAACTCAATATTTTCACCCATATACTCACTACCAGAATCAGTTAGGTCAAAATTTTCGTCACTATCTGATTCAAAAAGCATTTGTTCGATTCGTGTTTCGTACTCACGACTTATATAATTCCGTTTTGGTCGAGATGGTCCTGGTTCATCCATATTTGTTATAAAAAACACAAAAAAAAATTCAATGAAAATCCAAACAAAGTTTTAAAATTGATAAATTATCGAACCAACGCACTGTAATTTTAACATTTATAACAAAATATGATATAATATTATGCTTGTCACAATTCACAAGTGAAAATTATTATCAAAAGTAATAAACACAATTGACTTACGTCAATACAACAGATAAAACTTCCCTACTTCAACTGGATAAAACAAGATCTAAAATTAGAATTATCAAGGTACGACTAGAACAAAACGATTAATTAACAATAATTGGAGATAACGCTAACGCAAACTTATTTGTTTATTCGTAACGCTGATAAAATTATAAAGAAAAGAAAAATCGTATGTTGATCAGCAGTGAACGTGTTAAACAATAATTTGATTAGGTACCTACTTATAAAGTTCCATTGAGGTCGTTTGATTTTATTTTGCCTGGGCCGAGCTATAGAGCTAGTCCAACCCTGGCCACGGACATCCTTTTCGTTATATATGTTATTATATATTTGCCCTTCCCTCCTAATAAATTTTCAAGTTACGCCCATGATTCTAGTTGAACTTACTTATCACTTAAATCATCCGGGTATCGGTCCTTAGGCCATTGTCCTTTTTAAGACAGCCGTACGAATATGCGTTAATTTTGATACCTAGTGTTGCAGTATTGCGTTTACCAATCAAAGTTTGTACGATAAAATGAGCTCATAATAAACATTTAAAGAATTAATTACACTTTTTGTGTCATTACCAGTTACAGGTGTGATGATTTGCTGCCGAATACCATTTATTCTTTTTTTTTTTTTTTGCACAAAGTACCTATCTGAAAAAAAAAATGTATACGCATAAAATTCCTAGTAATAATAAAAACCAGACATTTTAACCGACACAGGTTTTCTCAGAATATTGAAGTTGGTAGTAAAAATTTGAAGTGAGAAATTCACTAAGAAAATAGTTTCGGAAACGAATAATCAAACAAATCATGTTTTATAACCTGTTCGTTTTCGAATCAAACGGGTACGTCGCACTCAAACTGACGGAAACGTAGTATACGGGCACGGTCCGGCACGTTAAAAGGCCACGATGCGAAAGGTCGGGTGCATTGCGAATAAAAAAGATCGATATGGATGTTTATTAACTGTAAAAAAAAAAAATAACATCAAAAATTTACGCGCACGTACACATAGGTGTCACGTTGACATTCGGCTTTAGCCGGTCGTGTACACCTTCAGGATGGAATTGCTTATGGCGAACTGATTGATCTCCGGTATGCGGTCAACGAGAAACGATTAGACGAACAAGATGGGCGGGTTGCGGTCGCGGATGAAGTCACCGGTGACCAGTGCCAGGTACGCGGCGGGCGTGCGCTGCACGTTGATCGTCCGGACGCGGAACCGGCACTCGAAGAACCGCTGGTACACGACGTTAGAGTGGATCTGGTGATGGCCGACCGCGGGCCTGAAGCTGCTGCCTTCGTCGGTCGCCTCGCCGTCCACGTGCATGTACTGGCCACCGACCGTGTATCTGCGCCACGCGTCGTGCGGCGCCGACTCCAGCGTCAGGTAATAGCAGTGCACGAACTCCTCGACGGCGGCCACGAAATCGTACCCGTAAACTGGCGTCAAGGACACGTGGTACTCGGATTGGTCGTAGGACATCGTCTTGTTGGGGTTGAAAAGAAACCAACAAAAAAAAAAAATAAAAAACTACGAACACTTTTCAATGCTAAGTATAAAGAAATATCGCAGGTCCGACGCAACGGAATTGAGTTAGCATAGAAACCGTTTCGGGACGTTTGTAATAGTAGCGAACTGTCGTATTAGCCAAGATTTTTTTTTTATTAGATTAACACAATATTATGCATAAATTAAAGAACAAAATATTACAATAAAAATCGCCTTTAAATTGCGCTTTTACGATAAAATGGTGTAGGGAGTTACAGTACACTTATGATTATATTATCTTACATAAATAAGCAAAAAAACGAATATATATATAAATAGTAGGTAATATTATAAGACTTGGTACTAATAAATTATAAATAATTACTTAAAAAAACATAATTAATACGTTTCTTGAAGTTGATATTATCATTTAGGATTATTTTTTTAAATCATTTGGCAAAGAGTTAATACTAATAGGATCAAAATAATTAATGAACTTTTGAACAATTTGTTTTTGTGTAATTCACTTCAACGTTAAATAGCCAATTTCTACTAGTGGGTTTGTCAGAACTAAAACTGAAGTTAGGAGAATCCCACCAGATCGCGCGAGAACGCCTAATCTAAAAGAAACAGAAAACTAAGATAAACTATGACCAAAGCGCACATTTCATTGATATTCACATAGGAGAAAAATTTTTAATACAAGACAAAGCAAGAAAAGGCAAACTAAATGCCAAATGGCTTGGTCCTTACGAAGTTTTAGAACTAAATTACAACGAAAATGTTACAATCTCCAAAGGTAAAAAGAAGGTGAAGATACACAAAAATCTTATGAAACCTTTCATAGAATAATAAGATCTATTAACATTTGTAAATATTATTGTATATAATAGTTGGGCTTAACATACAAAAAAAATATATAAATATATATATTTATTATTTATTATTTAAATAATATGATGTACACTTTTTTTATTAATTACAAATTTTTTGAGGTACATGAAAAAAACGAAAATACGCACTCTTAAAAGAAATTTCAATCCTCTTGAGGCACATCTTAAGGTTTTACTATCGTTATAAAATTACACAGATATTATTTTTTTATGGTTTAATTTCAAATTAGAAGGTGGTGTAGTTTAAATTTTGATCTTCAATTTTAAGGACTACCCTAATATATATATGTAAAAAAAATTGTTACAGATTAATACACTTCACTCTTTTTAAAATCATATTTGAGAAAATAGGATACATTATAGAACCAGTACCTGAACCAGGAATCTTGTATCAACCGATTGGTACCGTACATCCAGTGGGCAACAAATTTAAATCAGTCACGTTTCTGAGTATTCCCGCTTTAAATATCAATCATAATGATATCGTGGTTCTTCATAAACAATTAGAAATATGTTGCAATAAATATAATTGGGAGCACCCATCGACGTCTGTTCATTCATGTTGCGAATAGATGAAAATCAACATAACATCTATTTTTCATCAAATCGAACAAGTTAAAGGAGAAATCCTTGATTCTTTAGACTCAAATTACCAACCAACAAGGGTAAGAAGAGGACTCATAAATACTGTAGTTAGAGTGCCAAGGTTCTATTTGGTGTATGATGAGGATGCTAAATTCCTAATTTCTAAAATCTCGGAACTAAGCGATGCTAGAACTAACACTTTGAACATTCTAGAAGCAAAAACTAGAATTGTGCGCGTAACTGTTATAGACATAAATTCAACCTTATCAGGAGTCTTGGAAGAACGAAAAAGCATGGAGGAAGTGGTCATACGTCTAAATGAAAAATCGGGAAAGTCTCTTACAACTTTATCAGAAATAGACATTCGACAATTGTTCAATGAGCAAGTTACAATTATAAGTAGTGCCTGTGATTTTAAACGTGTAATTTAAATACACGTGTACACGAAGTACGTGTAATTAACATACACGTGTATATACACGTGTAATTAAAAAACACGTGTATATACAGTATATACACGTGTATTAAAAAAAATTAATTTTTGTTACAAATTTCAGTAAGTTTATACAATTATATTTGTGTTTGAGTTCGTACAATTGATAGCTGGAAAAATGAAATCAAAAATAGCATAGGTATAGGAGTAAACAATGTATTAGTATTGTTTAATAGAAAAGTATTAACTTTACTGGTATGAATTACATGAAAGTAGAATGAGATTACTTTATTAAATAATAAACAGAACAATAAGAATCAATGTAAATAATATAGCATAACAATAACTTATGTAAATAAATCATAAATAAATAATATCATTTTAAACTAAACATATAATCAAAAAAACAAATAAGTAGGTAAATGTTTAAATAAATAATTAGTTAGGTATATCACATATCAAAAACAATTATTAAACATATTATGAATAATTTTCAAATAATAATTAAATATTTATCATGTTTTATTCAATAAATATTTATTCTGGTGTAAAAAAACAAGCATATTTACGTTTTCAGGTGATAAAGATGCTCTTTTACGAGTAACGATGTTACCGGCCGTCGAAAAACATCTTTCTGAACTTACCGATATTGCAGGAATTGTTAAATATTTTTTTGCAAGGTCGCCAATTACAGGATATTTAGAAAATCTAGTTTTCCACCATTCTTTGGGGTCCAATGTGAACCTTAATTGTGGTTCTGCTATATAATTTTCAAACTGTTTCGTCAAATCATCATCATCATTAAATTCAGTCTTATAAATATATTCCAAAGCATTACTATGGCATTTTTGCTGGTCTCCTAAATTATTCAATACCTTATCATTCAAATTTATCGTGTCGCTCATACTTAAAATTTCTTTTACTCTCGAGCAAATTTCCTCACGCGTGGATAACGCCTCATGCTCTAAATCTTTGTACCTAGGATCAAGGAAGGATGCAATTTGTTCAGGCAGTATTTGTTCTGTTGGACTCAAGTCGAGAAAGAATCGGCGTTCAAGTTCTAACACTATTGTTTTTTTAAAACTCTGAATGACAGTATCTTCATCATCACTAGGTAATAAATGTTTTTCTATAATTTTTTTTATTATTGGTCTAATCATCGAAATCGGAGAGTGCTTTTCAGTACATAAAACAGTTGTGGTCATATCGATAGGCTTAAGAACCTTAATAAGTGAATCGATCAATGTCCATTCAGTTTCTTTTATTTCTAATTTTTCAGCTAATGATCGATTTGTAATATTTTTATCTGTTAAAACATTAAAAATAGCACATCTATTTAAGTATAAACGTTCTAACATCAAATATACTGAGTTCCACCGAGTCTTACAGCTTTGAAGTAATGTAGTTTTTGACAAGCCAATTTGTTCTTGTCTTTTTTCCAGAGATTGTACTGCTAACGCTGAATGCTTAAAGTGTCCAACAACTTTATTACACTGTTTGATTATGTCACTTATACTTTCGATTTTTAGAGCATGATTTACAGCTAATTGTAAGGTATGAGCTGCGCATTTAATATTAAAAATTTGTTTTTCGTTTGTTGATGAAATTAATGGAATGGAATTGACAATATTTTTTGCATTGTCAGTAACCACGGCTAACACTTTTTCTGAAATATTCCATTCATGAAAAATATTATGTAGTTGTTCAGCAAGATTTTCCGCAGTATGGCGTTTATCCATTTCAATGGTGGTTAACGTAAACGATTTTGGGCACCAGTTTGAGTCAATTATATGAGCAGTTACTGTTATGTAAGATTCTTGCGCTATGGAGGTCCAGCAATCTGAAGTGCAAGAAATACTTTGGGAATCACAAAACTCCATTTTAATTAACTCTTTGACATTTGATGTCAACGCTATTAATCTTGATTTAATAGCTTCCTCTTTACATGGTTTGTAATTAGGTTCTATCACAGCCATGAAATTTCGGAATCCTTTACTTGAACAGAATGATATTGGTAGCTGATTTACAGCAATTAATTCAGCTAGAGATTTGTTTATAATTTTGTTCCTTTCGCAAGAACACGGACGACCATCGTTTTTATTTTCAAACTTTCCTTGTCTTTTCCTCTTTTTCTTTTTCGGTGCTTCATTTGCATTGTCAATTTGTCCATCAATAATACGTAATGTTTCAGCATTTTCAGTATCTAGAGCTTGTTCGTCGTGTATTTCTGACCTGTTATTCAAACATTAATATGTTGATATTATATGACATATTGATTTTTTTGAAAAATAAAATTTTTAATTTAAATTAAATTCGCCGCTTATTACACATAATAAGTATACTTATATATCCAGCCCGTACTTATACTTTTCAATATCAATTAACGATTAAAAATAACTTACATATCATGATGACTTTCTGAATTTAATCCGTGCATTCCTGATAAATGCCTTCCCAATAAACCTGTCGTACCACCAGGACAAGCAAATTCATTGCATTCACCTTGGTCGCATAAATTACAATATGCCTTGTCCTCAATACGCCTCGCGTACTGCCAAACCCAGCTTCTTCCTCGTTTTGGCATTATTAACGCGTAAATATTAAATGTAAAATACGGAAACTAAATGTACAGTACGCAGCAAGCAGTTTTACCGAACTGATTATATGTCGCCGATTGTGCGTAAAAATCCGGAATAATCAAATTGCTATCGTATATTAATGTGCGTAGTATCTCCGATAAATACGCGAACTGGTTATCTACAGCGGTGTATATGGGTCAAAGTATGAAATTATTCTATTCTGGGCACACGCTACAACTACTGAATCAGTAGTACTGATAGTGCGACAGTAATTGTCCGATCGTCGATACTATTACACAAATCACAAATTTCTTAGGAGGATTTTACATGGCGACAATACGCCTGCTCTTCGTCCGTGAGTTCTCAGTCCAAAACTGACATGACCTCAGACATAAGTTATATTTTTTTAAAACACGTGTTTAAATACGTATTTTTAACTAAATACTCGTGTATTTATAACTTATAATTTATAAGTATATATTTATATTTATCACTCAACAGGCATTTGGTATACAGAAACTTCTGCAGATTGTCAATTCTGCAATTCACGGACAAGTTCATCCTAGTTTAATGACTCATCAACAGTGTCGTGGTCCGGGATGTCACGGCACGACACACAGTTAAAGGATTATAATGATTATAATAATAAAAAAAAAAATTAAAACACAGTGATGAAATGCGGTATGGCTGATGGGCCGCGTATTAGATAAAAATCGAATAATACGGTAAGGAAAAAAAAAAGGTAATGTTAAGACAAAAAAAAGAAAATATGGTGTAGTATAAACGTAGCGTAAAAACAAGGTGTACGTTCACGCTCACGGTGTTCGAAGAACAACTCGAACGGACCGGTTGGATAGTATTCCGTGCGGGCGTCGTCGCGACCGTTCGCGTCCCCTGTCCATTGATGGATGGGGGGACGGGGTGTCGGGGCGGCGTTGCGTGCCGTGGTCTGGTGGTTGGTGAGAGAGATAAAGGCACGGTCGGCGACAGACGTTTCGATAACGGCTGCCACACGGGTCCGCGTCAACAGTTTGTAGAACAATTGTGAGAAATTTAACTAAATCTCCACATGGGCTCAAATTTACCTTTTTCGCTAGAAAAGTTCAGTATTACAAAATTTATTCAGGTTACTCAAGTCTCTATTTTACTCGCCAACAACGCATTTATATTTATACAAAAGCTTCCGCTAATCAGTTCTAATTCATACAAGGGTTATAGACTTATACCGTTTCCTGTTCGACAACAAGGACAAACATACTCTATTATGACATCTATCCCTTCGGTAGTGACATTCAGTTCAAACCATAAATATTTTACCCCTTTAACAGAAACACAGTTAGGAAACTGTAAACGTGTCGATTCATCTTTTTTTTTTTGTTCGCAAACCATATGTTTGTATAGTGCAACAATTACAGTTTTTGAGGTTAACTCCTTGTTAGGTTTAATCTCCAGCTTAAGGCTCGGTACACACCTGCGTTATTTTGACCTGCGGCACCGCTGCGTCATCGTAATTGCGAGGCGTTCTATTTATAATTAAATTGACCGATACACACACGACTCCGTCACCGCGCGTTATCGTACGAGCTCGCACGAGACAAAAAATATTCCGATAACGCAACGTCAAATTATCATAAATGCGGCGTCTCATAACATAGCGATTTATTGATCGATACACACGTGCGAGTTTTTATCGTAATGGCTTTGAACACACAATTTGAAATTTTTGACATCGAACTTTTTATCACGGAAATAAAGAAGTACCCTGAAATTTGGAATTTGAGTTGTGAGTCATATCATGACAGGGTAAAAAAACGATCGGCTTGGATTAATATTTGCCGTGAATTTTGCGAGGGATTTGATGAGAAAGGAGATACAATCAAAAATGAAATAAGTAAGAGTACATATTTGACTTCGTATACAATTTTATTTATTTAATACGATACTAGAATACTATAAGAAAACTTCAAAACTTATGTTTTGAACTATACAAGTTTCTGTATATCTAACTGTTAATCTAATTTTGTATTTTTTTTATCATGTGTAATTAAATTATTAAATATACTCTCTTTGCCAAGAGACGCTACCAACATCAGATACAAAATAATTGGTAAACAAGTTGCGAATACGCGTTGATTGCAGAGTAGGTCTAGTAGTTGCTGTTCTGATTCCCTCATTATGTGCAAACTCTACACTCATGGCGTCTTCAATGTGAAATCCATCTCTAGACCTCACATAGTTATGTAGACTGCAACATATTTTTATAATAAGTTTAGCTAAATCTAAACTTCCGTTAATGGGTCTATGGAAAATTTTCCATTTGTTGGAAAGTATACCAAATGTACTTTCTACATTTCGGCGAGCACGGGACAATCTATAATTAAAAATTCTTTTTTCTTCTGACAATATTTTTCCACTGTAGGGCCGCATAATGTGTTGAGAAATGGAAAATGCTTCGTCACCGACAAAAATATAAGGAAGGCTTAGATTTTCAGTTCCTGGAAGAGGTTGACTAGTCGGAACATTCAATTCATTATTTTCTAGTTTCTTAAAAAATTTAGTTCTTTCAAATATAGTGCTGTCGGCGTCTTTTCCGAAAGAACCAACGTCAATATATAAAAATTTGTAGTCCGCATCAGCAATAGCTAGTAACACAATCGAATAATAATTTTTATAATTGTGAAACAGCGATCCACTTAATTTCGGTTTGATTATTCTGACGTGTTTCCCGTCAATCGCGCCTATACAATTCGGAAATTGGGTTCTCTGATAAAAACAATCAGCGATTTTTTTCCAATGTTCTTGCGCCAGTTCGGGAAAACATTCTTCTTTCAAAGTTTCCCAAATAGCTGTGCAAACTCTTCTAATAATGTATCCAATGGTTGAATGTCCCAATCTGTATGTCAAATGTAGGTCTTTTTTGGTCACAGCCACTTCCTAAGTATCTTTAACAAAATATATAAATTAAAAATCAATAGTGTAATAATTCTAAATAAAATATTTAATGGATTCATTTTTTTTTCCTACACGTTTTCAAGTTAATTTTTATTTATTATTTTATTCTAGACAATGCATTAGTTAAGAAATGGAGAAATATTAAAGATACATATTTAAAAACTTTAAAGAAACCTAAGTCTGGATCAGGTTTTAACAAAGGGCGACAATATTTATATGCAAGACAGTTATCATTTCTACAACAAACTTGCCTCGTTCCTGAAACTGAATCTAGTCTGAATTCCGAACAGCTTATGAGTGATGTAGATAATGAGGAATTAACCACAGAAACAGAATTAGAATGTGGTCAGAATGATTCAACTCCTAATAACAGTGTCAGCCATAAGCGCCCGCGAAAACATGACTTGGAATCAAGTCTATTAGCTTTTATGAACGCGCCGATACCTTCTCCTACAACTAAAGAAATACAAGCTAATCCAAATTAGTCATTTTTTGAAAGCCTTGTCCCGATATTAAATGGTTTCACAGAAGATGAAGTAATAGACTTTAGAATGGAAGTCTTGTCTATTATAAAGAGGATCCAAAAGGCACGGCAAAGGCCAATCCCAACAGCAAATCCACCCAATTTTAATTATATAGTATATCCTCCTCATCCCGGTACACATAATATAGTATATCCACATCAGCCACCGCCAAAAAGCACACTAACTCCAACTCAATCAAGCCAATTACCAACTGGGATTGCAACAACCAATAATCAAACATTTCCACCTCTTCACCAAAACTATCTTCAATTACATGAATCGTATTACTCTTCATCGCAGCCTAGTACTTCCTTCAAACCTGCCAGTACCGATCAACTTATCCCACCACAAACTTCGTATATCACAGAAAACCCGTTACAGATTTTAAATACTCATAACACTACTTACATTCCGGCATATTCAACTCAAAAGCTACCAAATATTCAACAGTCATCTGGAACTCGAATGAGTAAATCATGTTCGACTAAACATATGACAACTGAAAGCCATGTGCGTTCTCCACCTTCACAGGACGTCGACTTCAACAATGCATCGCAATACAGTGTGTCACCTCCACTTACTTCATCATCTAGTGTTAATGAAACTGAAGTTGTTACTGACGACGAGTGCCTAATCTTATTTAATAATCAAAAATAAGTTTTCATGCAAATTATACAAGTAATATTTTTTATAGACTTATGTTAAATTTATGTTAATCTAACTTTGTTAAGCTTTGATTATCTAATGTAAATTGTTTTTTTCTTTACCAGCTGCAATAACAGTTTTAATGAATATATTCTTAGTAAAAGCAGTATATTATTACGTTTATTTTTATTTGAATAATACTATTCATTGTTTATAATTTGAGTACAATATACTATAATAAATAATAATTTGTATTTTCAAATATTATTTTATACATGTTATATATGAGTATAATGTACAATTGTAACATTGACTCATTGTGTAGGATAAGCGTTAAAACATAGTACCTAGTTAAATATTAATTAATATACACTCATTACTCGGAATCTAAAATAAAATAAAGTACAATATGTGTTTCAAATTTACTCACCTCAGAGTTACAACAAGCATTACAATTGGGGGTATAGCTTTTCTCATATAAGTATCATTCTTTTTAATTTTGTCGTTTAATCTTGCAGCCAGTTCATCAAATGACTTCACACTCATTCGAAAATAATTGTAAAATTTGTCTGGATTATTTCTTAAGTCTTCGAATGACGTTGAAAAATGTCCCCTCAAAAGCCTTGAATCGGTAAAGGGATGTATCCAGTAACGCCTGTTTTTCTTCGACAAATAATTTTTATAAACTAAATATGCAAAAACTACCCATTTTCGGTTGTACACTTCCATAATCAGTAGTCACTTCGCGTAGTGTATCGACACAATTGTCGTAGTTCAAGAAAAAACGTCGGTGTTCAAGCGGTGCCGCACGTCAAAATAACGCACGTGTGTACCAAGCCTAATAGATAAAAAAAATGCCTAATTCTAACAATAAAAATTCTGTCACTGACAACTCGCTCTTAATATTACAATTTAATGCAAATGGACTTAAAAATCACGCCCTTGAACTAGAAACTGTTTTAAATAATAAGCGCATTAATATTATTCTCATAACAGAAACTCATTTCTCTAAATATTCTTATTTTCGTATCCTTGGATATACTTTAATCAAAACTAACCACCCAGATAACACCACCCATGGGGGCGTTGCTATATTTGTAAAATCCAAGGCTGGGTAAGTTAACGATTTTTTTTAAGTCGTTAAGTTATTTTATAAGTTAAGTTAAGTTATTCGTTAGTTATTTTAAAATAATAAAGTTGTTGTGCACGTGCTTGAGTTTTGCACAACTTATTATATTTAAAATATAATAAAAGAAAAAGGTACTGGTGCGAAAAGAAAAATATCTTATGGTTAAACGAAAATAAAGTTTATTGAATTTGAGACGAGGTTCTGCTCACGGACATTCACACTAAACGATTGGTTCGCCAGTCGGAATCCGGGTACCTAGTGTGTGATCCAAAAAGGTTGTCTCAACACATTCCTTACAACCCGGTCTCGACTGCGATGCTAATACGCAGAATAGTGGTGACACAAACAATCACGTACATAATACTATGATGCTTACTAACTAATATAACAGGGGTTCTTAACAAAGTTTAGTTAAATTAAAAGTTACTTATATTTTTTCGTTAACTCGTTAAGTTTAAAGTTAACTTTGAAAAAAAAGTAACTTAACTTAATTTAAAGTTAAAATTTTCTAATTTGCAAAAATAAAAAATTGCTTACATAATATTAGTTTTTTTACGCTCAAGAAAATTACTGGGGAAATTTAAAATGATACATAAAAGTATTAACTAGGTATAAAAAAACTTACTTTTCTAAAATAAATCTTAACCCTGAACTCATACTCAAATCAATTTACCCAAGTGGTACATCCAAAAATTAAAAAAAAAACACCATTGATAGTTTTCTTCTAACTGCTAAGATACCAATATTTTTAATTGATTCATACAAATTTTAAAAATAAAATAGGCAGTATCTACTACCTAAAAAATTTTCTATACTGAGTAGACAAAATGCAGCTACCCATGCTCCCGGACACCGACTGTTGCGTCTTTTATACACCACCGACCGACTATGTTTTGCGATGTGTAATGCGGTGTATAGCTCGACTAGTAGTATTTAGGTTCGCTTCACAAATACTAGTTACCTATGTGGTGGTATTGTGTATAGGAGTGTGTATATATTTATGTGTTTGGGTGTGCTCATAAATATGGAAGGAACAAAAAAGGTAACTAAAAATAATGTAAAATGGTAACTATATATTGCTGGTACAAAAAATAATTGATAGTAAATAATAAGTAAATAATTCACAGCAATACAACAATAAAATAAATAATTATGGCCCTTTTGGCCCAACAACATAATAAATATAAATAAAATAAAAAATTAATAAAAAACAATTTTGTGCAGGCACAGGTCATAGAAGTAAAACTTCCTTGACAACAGTTGTGGTGATATCAAACTATTAATGTACAATTTACAGTTACTGTCGTAGAGGTTTCATTTTTATTATTTGTCTTTGCGGAGAATTATTTAGTAATCAAAATGAGAAGATCTATAAAGGGAGGGAAATAGGGCCGGATTTAGACTTTCGGATGTCCTGGGCAAATCGATTTTTCGAGGCCCCTAGCAATAAGAAATTAACATTATCCATGTAGTAAAGGAAAAATTAAAAATTTGCATACTTGCCCGTTAAAATTATCTGCCTATACTTTTTTATTTCAAGTTTAAAATACCACTGTTCATGCTTCACAAACCACAAATTTCTGATGTATAATAATATCACAGTTTAATTAAATATAATATACAGTAAATACTAAATAGTTAGTAATAATAAGTAATAAAAAAATAAATACATTTTTATAAATATGGTAATTTTAGAAGTAATAAGTCTGACTTAAAAAAATTAGATATACATTTGGTTTTTTTAATGTCACGCGCATGCGTGTGTATAGGTATAAAATAAAGATACGTAACGTAGGCCGCGCGCCGACGGCAGCCTACGATACTATCAGTGTCTGCGTTTGCTATCTCCTACAAAACAACGTGCATGTGCGTGTATTAGTATAAAATGAGACGAATTTTCGTTGCATTCCTGTGTGTCGCGACTTTGAAAATTTACTCCCAGCGCGCGTATAGAAGTTTCACTTTAAAAATATATAACTCGGTGAAGCGCAGACTGGCCAGCTGCAACTACATAAAAACTGTCATAATTTGTATAACAATAATAAATAAATAGTACTCGTAAATACTGGTAAAACGACAATAGGATGATATAGTGGCGATTAGTGCACACTCTAATTATAAAAAATGATAATAATAATGCTGACAATTAGTGTCACACACTATATAATAATAATAAGGTAATTCGTGCCCACACAATATAAAAAATTAACTGGCAATTTGTGCTCACAATAAATAAAACTAAAAATCACAAATTACGGCAATTCGCACACATAATAAAAATGTAAAAACAATATAATTTAACAATGTTCCCGGTCCGCATTTTAACATACTGTACCCTGTTTTGGACCCGGTATAGATTTAATGCTTCTGATTGGTCTATTTAAATTTACCGCCTAACAGTTCATTATGATAATAATAATAATAATATTATCATCATCATATGATATCACATCTGCCGTATGACAGTATCATATGATATCACAGAATAGATTGAAAATTACGTAAATTAAATCATATGATATCCAAGAATAGATTAAAAATTACGTAAATTAAACAAATGATATAATATTATATGTTATATATTATATATACGTGATTTTGATTCGATTGGAATATTTTTATAATCGTGGTTGTAACTGTTGTGAGTTGTAACATAAAAACTTCAATGATCATAATCAGGACTCGGGACTTTATGCATTTGCATATTTGTTCGGGAAGTAAATAGAATAAATCTGATATGGTACAAATTTGTATCATGGTATTTGGAGTTAAAGTTTAAAGGTAAATTGTGCATATATTTGCATATTTTGGATTTTTTTTCTTCAATTGCATATTTTTGAGATTTATTGATTTAAACTGCATATTTTAAAATAACTGTTGATAATTTACTCGTAAATCAAAAATATTAATGTAAAATTTTCATTTTTGACACGTTCTAAAAATGTTATTTAGAAATTTAAACGCGCTGATACATTATTCAATCTAAATCAATTTTATCTATATGAATTCGTCTGCAATAAAGCCGATAGGGCGATACTCAATAGCGTTATTCCGCTTATTTTATTCGGGGAACCCATTTTATTTTTAACTCTGAAGACAATTTTATTTTTATTTATCTATCTTTCAAAGTATTATTTTGTTTGCCAGTATTCAGTAATCGACGAACCAGAGACGACGATCGTGTTCT